ACAGGGAGCAAGGACAGGAAAGAGGAACCCACCCACCGCCATTGCTGTCTCTGGCTGAGCTCGGCACACTGAACAACTGCTTCCCACAGCTGGACATCACTGGGGAACACTGAAGAGTCAGGCAAGGACCAGGCTCATGAAGGAGAGACCCACCCTCCCCCTGCTCACCTGGGAGAACTCTAGAGCCTCTTTTGCCTTACTCCACCTGTGGGCTGTTGAGAGCACCTGTGTGGGTGCTGGGCTCAACTGGGAACAGGAGCAGCACAAGCTGGTGCAAGTAGGTGAATCCCTTTTTCCTCCCCCTGCCCAGAGTCCCCTCCCTCTGGTGTTCCCTGCTGGCCTGAAGGGTCCAGCGATGCCTCACCCCTCCCCACCCCCTTCCCCACCATGGTCTGAGGAAGAACACAAGTGGCTTCAGCTGCAGCCCCTCTTTCCAAATCCAGGATTCTTCCCTGAGATGACAGTTGGCCCCAACTGCATTGATCTGTTAATGTTACATTTATAACAGCTTCCACCTACCCTTAAGGGGGTTGGGGTGGTGTGGGCACTAATGTGCACAGTTGACAGCCCAGAGATTTCTAGTTTGAGGCCACAGCAAAAGCACTCATGGCCCAACCCTCTCAGATTCCAACAAATCTGCAAATTCTGCTAACTACCTTGTCACAAAGACATGAAAAAGGAAAAAAAGAAAGGATCTACCCTTAAGAATGAGTCACCAAAAACAAAACTTAAGCAAGAAGGGTTTTGTACTAACAGTTTTTCAGAGATTCAAATAGGTTGTAATACAATCATATTTAGGCACCCAAATACACTTATATACCTAATAGGTAGTATATAATCTGGCCAACAGTATCTATCAGGTCTTAATCTTTGGTCTGGACCTCTTAACACTATCACAATAAAAAATATTTACCACTCCTAAAAATGAACTTGTGTGCTTATTTTTTGTGTGTGTGGCTCTGTGTGTGTCTGCAGATGTGCACGCACATGCGCACACACACATATATATGTTTATGTAAGTATGGACAAATATATAGTGTGTGTGTGTATGTGTTTAGGTATATGCTCTGGTATATGTGTGTGTTATATACTATATACTGATGGGGTGTGTATTATTTATCTTCCAAGCAACTAGAAAATCTATTTTCAAATACAATTATATAGTCATTATCTTAATTTATTTAGTAATAATATCACGTGAAATTGTGTGCTAAAAAATAAATTACTATATGCTACCATAAATGAAGCACAACTAAACATGCATATGTACTGTAGAGCTACTTTTAATCTTTTGTTGTCTTATGAGCATATCAGTATAAAAAACATTTCATTATAAGGACAGGATTGTTTCAATCAACCAGCACATGGGTATAACCCGTTAAGCAAAACATTTGTATGACAGAGTTTATAAAAGATCTACTTCTATCTTGGTGATGTTTTATTCCAAAAGCCTGATTTTTACTTTATTAGTGGCCATTTAATGAAATTCATTGGCAGAGCAGTTAAGGGTTCCTGTTTCAGTTGCAGAGGTCCACGTTTGAGCAGCACTCTGAACCCTTGGCAGAGTTTGCACCCCATTGACTTGGCTGCCTTCTCATTCATTATGGGGAGTCAAAGAGAGTTGGTCATGATGCTGTTACTAGTTATAGAAGTTGCTGTAGTTCAACCATACTAGCTCTACAGGATTCTTAGCCTGAGTGGGTCTTTGACCTTGATATTTAAGTGTCCATTTAGTAAGCTACCATGACTTCAGACATTGAGTAAACTTGATTCCAATGTGCTGGTTGAAAAAAAAAAATGATAATTTTGGGAAACTGCAATGAAAGATCAATGCAATATCCCATTATATCAACATACTATGAATATTACTGCTAATGCACTACAGTAGAATTAAATCAATTCAGGCCTGATTTTATGAAATTCTGACAAACTTAAATTAGAATTTTGATTTCTCAAGCACTTCTCAAAATCAGATCCTCTATCCATTAGTAAAAAAAAAAAAAAGTTTCATTCTTGAGGGAAAAAATAAATTCACATACAACATGCCTAGTTTTTTTATGCTTGTTACTGAACAGTCTTAACATGTCAGAATTAGACACAGGCCATCAAACAGCAACTATTTCCTTCTACATAAAGGCAAAAGTAAACTAAAAATATAATTGGTGAGTTATTTCTTATAATGGCTATCAGCAATAGCAAACAAACTTTATTTTCCCACTTTAATATTCAGGTTGTGTACTGATACCCTATTATCAAAGTACAGGCAGTTCTTGACATACGTTTCGAGTTACAACATTTTGCACTTACAACATTTATAAATTGACACCCTGTTTCAACTTTCTGATGTCAGTTTTGACTTTATAACACTTGATCCAGTGCCACGCCACACCAGTGAACAAGTTTGCTGTGTGGCCCATCTCCCTGGAGAACTTCTGTCCAAACTTCCTTGGACACTTTCTTTAAGAAATAGACAAGACTCCAGAAAAACCTGCAGCCAAGACTCTTGAGAAGACTCCAGCCAAGAGCCCTTCAAAAAGTCTACCCAAGAGCCTTTCAAAAAGTCCATCAAAGTCACCTCAAATAAGTCCTTCCAAATCAGTATGATTGCTACTTACAGTATACAGTAAAAGCTTTGTTATCTGGCACCCATGGGGAATAGAGGGGGCCGGATAACAAAATATGCTAGATTACTGAGTGGCCCAAGCAGGCATCTTTGCCTGTTTGGGCTGCTGCCTATCCTGCCACGTCTGGGGTGTTGCTGCCCCTCTTGCTGCATTGCCGCCCCTCCCACCACATTGCCACTCCTCCTGTAGGCCCCAAGGGAGGACCTGTGCAGCCTGCTATGCCCCGCACCGTGGGGGCTTGGCAGTGCAGGATGCTTTCTCTCAGGTTGTGGGGGCTCCATGGAATCAGAAGTGCCATGGTGGACACTTCTGGTTTCACTTTTCCCTTACAAGCCGGCATGCTGGTTAACAGAGCATGCCAGCTTGTAAGGTGCTGGTTAACACAGCTTTTGCTTTAAATACATTGATGTGGCTATATTAGTTATCTGTAATTGATTGAATATAAAATTCTGGGGTATTTTTGGTGAAAATAGGGTATCTGGCCTTGGTTCAGGAACCAATCCCCCATTTATAACATTCTTTCCTATGAGAAAATTGGTTCCAAGTTACAACATTTGGACTTAAGGCTTGGTTTTCAGGAACCAATTGTGTCGTAAATCCAAGGACTGCCTGTATAATTTACTATAAATAACTACTTCTTAAAAAGATATCCTAATGGCATTGCCACTATTAATGCATTTTCAAAGTGCCACACTCTAAGCATCTGGATTTGCTTAAATCCAGTGTTGTTACATGTGCCAATAGATTACTAAGTATTACACTGAACTGATTATATTTGATTTTATTCTTGGTCTGTTCTTCCTGTGAAAACATGTTACCACATCATTGCCATGTATCTGATGCATAAACTTTAGGGTTTCTTTATATCTTAGCAATAACAAGTATAACAGCAACAGCTTTTCAAATGTTTTTAGATTTTACCTCTGTCCTATGTAAAACACATTAGTTAAGTGATTGTTCTGAGGCCGCAGAGAAGAACAGATGCAAAGCAAGAATGGAAAGACTAGGTATGACATCCTTATCCCACTGCAGTCTGTAGCAAAGCTGTGGTTGACTTCAATGAAACCAGGATTTTACCTTAGATTTCCTTACTTCTAGTTTTGAGTTTTTATATTTATATGCAATACATTGTTTTCTTCCTTGGAGACATTGCATACCTGTGGAAAAAAGTATCAGTTGAAATATTTCCATATGCAAAGTAAATATTTTGTTCAATTTTATCTACAGAATGATAGACTGTTCACTACCACTTATGGTGATGGCTATGTTAGGGATGGCCAGTGTTTGTTATGATTTGTAATAATGTAATACATGACTTTTTAACATGCATGTCAATTCAAGTGCACCTGAATTAAAAAAAAATTAAGTATTACAGTGCTGTTTAGGGTTAATATAATTTGGTGGTATAGCAAGGGCCTTAACAGACCTTATATTTAATATATGGTTTAACAAGAAAATCAAACAATAAACAAGAGTGTGCTTTGGAACCATTGGAAATGTAATAATTCATAACTTGCAATATATTTGCAATATGATTTTTTTTTAAATCAAGCAAATATGCCATATAGAACCGGGGACCCTTTTTTGAAGAATACTTTTTGTAAATGTAAAAATGTAGAAGGAAGAAAGTTTAAAATTGAAAGAAAATTGTTACTGATTGAACTATAAATTAGAACAGGTTTCATGCCAGCAAAATTTGCTTCTTAAAAATCTGGCAAATGCAAATGAGGTGGTCAGATGTTGTTTCTTTAAATAACAATGGCCTGTAGAAGCCGAAAGCATATCATGATGTCCAGTGGAATTGGTGGCTGAATGTCGTTTCCATCCAGGCGTAGATAGCGGAGGCGTGGGAAATCATTGTAGGGAACATAGTCTTCTATGCTAATTGAGGCTGGACAAATTTGAGTGCCACTGACATCTGCAAATACAGATAACTTGTATGAAAAAAATGCGTTTTAATATTGTTATCTCTAAAATGTTTCTTGTTATTTTTAACTGAAATTACAAAGGCTATGGTACACAAGCAATTCAATTTAATTTAATACCAGGTTTACTACAAATTCATATTCTAGAGAGGAACTAGAATTCATTCCTAAATCTGGATAGTGGGAAGATTGGCCATTAAATTATTAGTGTGAATTTTGTTTTCAGTGTATTTATTATAAACCAAGTTGTGATTTTGACTTTAGTGAGGGCAGAATGAGGTCGGCAATGTCTGAAAACTTCATCCTGGGTGTCTGTACATTAACTACAGCAAACATATTGTCTGTTGTATTATATTTAAAATCCAGAAATTATAAATAAAAGTTCATGCAAGCATCTTTTTATAATGTTAGCATACTAAGCCCTCCTCCTCTCCTACATCATGCTCTCCAATAGTTTAATTAAACATGAACATATGAAAAATAGGAGAATTGTAAAAGGGCACGTAGCCTTACTGCACATCAACCACTAGGCAATAACTGCCTGTATGCATCTTTTTACTCCATGGGAAACAAAACTGGTAACGTAGGCCTCTTCCCCTGAAATCTAAGTTACTATGGCTGAATTTCTGCTTCCCTGGGGGTGTGAGAATGCACATGGACAGTCACTGCAGAGCAGTTAATATATGGTAAAGCACACCCTCTTCTTATCTCAAAATAAGCTGTACATTTATCCATACATATATTAACTGATGCAATGGCAGTCTGGCAATCCTGTTTTGACAGGTAAGAAAGAGATGCATCTCTTTTGAAAAAATATGTATCTCATTTTATTTAAAATAAGATTTGATACTGTGGCTTTAATCATTTGGCACTTTTCATGAGTTAGAGGCATTAGCTTCTTTACATTGGCTCTCCTATATAACATCTGTAATATCAATTGGCTAAAGTATTTTCCACTTTTAATCTTAAACACTTGTGCAGTGATGTTGAACAGCTGCCATATTTCAGGCAGTAGTTGGTTTTATCTTAGTTATGGCTGAAGTAACTTTTATACATTGATGATGTGAAACTTGTTGGGTCCAGTTATGGCATTAAGCTATTGACCTGTATGCCTGAAGCTGTTATTGGCCCAAGGCCACTTCTCCTAAAGAGTGTGAAAGGAGATTGTGAGTTACTGAGACACAGATATTTTTCTTAGCACCTTCATACCAGCATAGGTAAAACAGTTCCTAATTAAACACTTTCCATCAAAACTACAAAGGTTTTCTGATGTTAGCAACACAATATGTCCTAAAGTGTCCAAGGAAGTTTTAGTGAAACTTTACTTTTTGTCACCATTTTTTGCACAGGAAAAAACTTTTTTTTTCCTGAACAGACCTGTCTATAATGTCATTGGAACATTAACTTATACTTGGATTTTGTCTTTTAAACCCCCAAAACCAGAAGCCTTTTATTTTTAAGTGATCCTTTTTTGTAAGAATACAGATCTGTCACAGAAGCGAGACAATTAGATTGAGTTCCCCAAAAATTGCAAGTACAACTAACATACCAAATGCCGCCTCCTTAAAAATGGTTGACTAATGTTTATAAAATGCTTGGAGTTCTTTGAAGAAGAATTTGTTCTTGCAATTATTTAATTATATGGTGGTTGTTTTTAAGTAATATTTATTATTCAGAAGAATAGACATAGACAGCCTCTACTTACAGAAAGGTTTTATATCTATAGTTTCTTATGACTAAATATGTCCTGAGACTGATTTACTTTATTTTTGCATTTAAGTTTTAAACTTGCAATGAAGTTCATTTTTATGCATCCCACTATGAAACCAGAAGCTTCCAAGTGCTATCTCATAATGATTGTAATTATTAAAATGTGATTTTTGAACGATCCCAGTTTGGCAAAAATCTGCCATTTCAGGACACGTGGAAATCAGAATACCACGAAAGGCCACAGGACAATTTTTATAGAAAACAGTCATCATCAGGGCTAGGTACAGACATTCAAAAAGGCTGAGGCAGAATCAGTCTAAGTTTATGTGATTTTCTATAAGCAGCATAGTTTAGATTAGCAGTGAACAGAGCACACATTCGCCCTTTGGTGAGGGTGCAAATCTTAAACTGGGTTCAGCCATTTTTAAACCGGTCTATGTAAGCCAAACTTCTGTTCTGTTATGGGTATAGACTGCTTTTGTGTGCCAAACATCTGTTCTGTTAGAGATATAGACCGGTTTCCGATCACTTATATCAGTAAAAGTATAATGTTTGTACCTGACCCAAGTAAGAAACAAACCAGAACAACAGGCCATCTAAAGTAACTCAGCAAGCTGAGGCTATCTTTTGTACCTCTCATACTAGACTTCTTCAAGCTCATTTGTGACCCAAACTGCCAATAAAATGAAGACATCTTTCCTCATTCCATCATACCATTGTGGGACTAATACTCCTGTTGATTTTTGGAATGAGATACTGGAGGAAAATCTTTGTGCCAGCGTCCTTTATTCTTTGTCTGCCAGAGCTCTGGAATGGGGCTTTTGACTAAGAAGAAGTAGTATCTGTGAGGCTGAAAAGTAATATATTTTAAGCCTTTTTCTGCCTCTCTCTCTCTCTCTCTCTCCCCCCCCCACACACACACACACGCGCGCGCACACACACACACACGCGCGCGCGCACACACACAGAAAAAGGCAGAACAATTTAAGTAGTTAATATATATATATACAGAGAGAGAGAGAGAGAGACCTTCCCCTGAAGATGGGATTTTCATTCTTCTACCTGCATGGACAGTAATCACCATAAGCTGTGTAATAAGGGAATACACATGAAAAAATTCCTTGAAATATGGAAGAGTCTCCATTGATGTCTAATGTAGTAGCCCTCCTTGAACACACATGGGCAGGCAACTGCAGGACATCCTCTTCCATTCTGTGGCCCAGAGAGATCTCCAGTAAAGTCTGTGGATTATCTTTACCACTATAGGGATAAAAAAAATTTTGAAAGGCACGTTTTGAGGGTCAGCACTGGTCTGAGCTGAGGAGTAGTGAGGAAGTCAGGGCCATTCGATCCCTGTTGCTGTAAGCCGCAGTTGTTAGGGTCCACCAGGAGTACTGGGGTCAGTGGTTTATTTCCCAAAACACATAGTAAATAACAGCAAGAATATGAAGCCAATCTTTAAAAAATTCCATACTTGAAAGGAAAACTGAAAACTGGGCAAAACAGTTGCTTTTTTGGATGTAAAACACGGGAAGGACAAAAAAATTGTCCTAAATTCAGGACTGTCACAGAAAAGTCAGGACAGTCACTTTAGCTATAGTCCTGACTTCCAAGGATGAATTGGGGCCTACAACTCCCTCCTCCAACAAGAGCTCTACAATGGAGTTGGAAGGAACCATTTTGCTCCATGTCTTAGGACTTCAAATTCTCATCTTTGTTTGGGATACTGTACTAGGAGCTGAGAGGGAGCTTTTGCAATCTCCTGCTATCTCTGCTCACTCCTCTCTGGAATCTGCTTTATTCTGGTTATTTCACTTTTTCTCTTTTGCTATATTGGCGCTGATCACTGTCTTCTTTGATCACCCCTTTGTTGGCTCTATAATTGTTGTTCTGCCCAAGCTTACTATCCCTGCCAGTTGTACTCACATACTCCATAGCGTTTCTATCCTTCTGTTCTCCTCTCTCTCTTATCTTTTCCAACACTCCTTTTTTCCCCAACTTAGCCTCATGTGAAATCCCCTGAATACTATTGTTGTCTTCTTAATTAAAATACATATGTAAATAAGATAGACATGCTTAAATGGCTTGGAGCCAATCTGATATGTGTGCATCATCACATTTTTAATGTTGATTTTTTTTGTCTCTGTGCTTTGTCTGCTCTGCCATTGTTTTTGCTGTTCTTTATATCACATGGTCTTTCAGAAGGGATATTAGATAAAATGTAAGCATCTTTGAAACCTGTGTCAAGACCCTTATTAGTTTCAACAAGGCCTAGGTTTCACCCTATGTCATCCTGTATTTATAAAATCCCAAGCAAAATGGGGCCTTGAACTTTACAGAGGAAGTTAAGTTATACTGTAAAATAAACAAATAAGGGAGAACACACTATGTGAAAAACTAATATTGATGTATAAGCCAACTACCTACTATACTACAGTACTGGCAAATGTGACATTCAGTTTTCATTTGATTCCTAGAAAGGAACAAAGACTAATGCCAAACAGAAAAAAGTGAACTTAGTTTGGAACCACTGTACAGAGAAATTAGATCCAAGAGTCTAAAATATGTTTTCTTTCATTAGCTTTTTAAACTAATTAAGCATTCTTTTCCCTTGCTCTAAACAGAACAAAAAAACTGATCTGCAAGTTGATGTCACTTCTGCTTTCTGCCAGGGAAAATTATATTCATCTGTCTTTTGCTCTTTAATACTAAAGGTCTTCTGAGGTCTTAGATGTCAGAGCTAGTAGTTAATACAGTAGAATATTTGCAGTTATCACATACTTTTTGATAGCACTGGTAAAATATGGTGATACAGTGAATCATTGATGTCTTTGTGTTGACTCCCTTTGCTTTACCCACGTTTTGCTA